GATTGGTAACTATAAAGAGCTTTTTAAGAAGTATAACCTTTGTGCCTTTCACCATGGCTTCATGGACTCAGTTCCACTTTTATTTTTCCTCAGAGAACTGGAAGCTGTGACACCACAAATACATGAAAGTGAGGAAAACAAGCTCTAAATGCCAAAGCTTGTGAAGTGTTTGGTGGCTGGAGTGGGGAGTGATATTTTTGATGCTCAGTATTTGCACAGCTGCTGCTCAGCAGTGAGAATGTGTAGCAGGCCTGACAGGGCTCAGAGAGAGGAGCACTAAGGTCTGTGTGGTGCTGGCATTTAATGCTCCTGTGTTTCCAACCACTCCTTTCACAGGAATGTAGGATCCTGAAGAACTTCTCCTCCTTGAGGGCCATCATTTCAGCTCTGCAGTCCAACTCCATCTATCGGCTGAAGACCACCTGGATGTGTGTTTCCAAGTAAGCCTCTCCCTCAGTTCCCAAGGGCCACAGGGCTCAGTGTTCCTTCTCTTCATCCTCTCCTCACTCCTCCTGTTCTGTTCTTTCTCTGACGTGGGTCCTGTCAGAAGAACCCCCCATTCCTGGGAGGCTCAGACCCCTTCTGTGAGCTCCTCTTTCCTGTGGAGGGGACAGTCTGCCCTTGGGCATACTGGATTCTGTCCTTTTTAGCCTATTGGGTCTTCCACAACCTCTCTAGAAAAACTATGGTGCTGGCTTCTCACCCAGCTCATGCTCGCCACTGTCAGGGCAACACGACCTCTGCTTGTTGTCTTCTCTCCCATAAAGTTTGAGGAGGTCCAGCTTGCTACAATCCTCCCAACTCTTCTCCTGGTGCTGATATTTACATAAAATACATCTTCCCAAATCACAAAATCCAGTATTGAAGATAATACTTCTCCCAGGGGAACACTTGGTTGTGTAAATATTTACTGCCTGCCCCACAGATGCTAGAAGTTGCTGTCTAGAAAAAATGGTGTTCTGCTCATTCAGTCTGGGGAAACCAAATTTCTTTGCCTTTGATAAATTAAAATACCACTCTGCTAGGCAGTATCTTTCTGTATTTCCTCTCCACAGAGGTGGGATTTTTCTTCTGCTGCTCTGTGTTTCTGATCAAAATATTGCCTTTCATGTGTTTACTGTGTTGGGCAAAAAACTACTCCTACACTTATTTGCTTCCAGCTTTCCAGAATGCATGGAATAGGGCAAAAATCAAGCACTTGGGTTCCCTCTCAGCTGCTTTTCTGTTCCTTTGTATCCCCTGACCCATTCTCACACTGCACTGACAGTTCAAAGGCCTGCCCAGGGGCTGCTGATGGTGTTCCTTTGCTGTCAGATGAAGCCAAACTTCACTGGAAGCACCAGAATGTCCCACCAAGGCTTCCAGGAGATGTGCACTATCTCAGTGGGTGCATTTTGGTGCTGCTATCTTTTATAAGTAGAACTGTTAATGACTGATGAGAAAGACACAGAGACTTGATTGGATTTTTGAGTGCTTGCTAATGGCATAAATGATATTATCTTCTCCTGTGCAGGGACATCCTGCTGATGTATGAAGAGCTCTCTGAGATCTTCTCAGACCATGACAACTATCTGACTAGCAGGGAGCTGCTGATGAAGGTGAGAACTGGCGTGACTTCAAAACTTGTGATCTGAAGTTTAACCCTTTCTGAAACCAGCTGCCAAAGCTCATCACTTCCTCAAGGACCTTTCTAGGGTGTTCTATGGAAGAGCAGGCTGTAAAACCTGAACTTCTTGCTGGGCTGAGAGTTTATTTCCTTGTTCCTGGAAGAATCAGTAGCTTCAGCCTGGACAGCCACAGCCAGCAGGCTTTGGCAGCATGATCTGGGTGGACAGCAGGTCTTGCAGCTCCTCAGCCCATGAGGTCACTGGAACAATGCCCCAGCTTCAGCTGAGGAGTCAATCCAAGATGTTTATCCCATTATCCTGTACCTTTCTTAGAACTAGGAAGCAGGGCTGGGAATTCTGAAGGAACAGGCTTCCTACTCTGTGGGTGGCCAGATGGACAACAAAGAGGGCTCTGTGTGGGGCAGTTTGACTTATGAACTCTCCTGGGTGAACCCCAGTAAGCTCAGGAGCCTGAAAGGGGCGAGGAAGAATGGCAGGGAAAGGCTATGTTCTGCAAAAACTAAGGAATGTTTGTGGCAGGTTTTTTCCATCTACACAAAAAAGTTCCTATAAACTCACTAACCAGATCATTCTTTGGCAGTTCTGTCCAGACACTCTGGCATTTGTCCCTCAGCCCTTTGCCTTGGGATCTGAAATACTGTGTTTTGCTCAGGAATGGTGGGTGAACACATTCACATCTGTCAGTCTGTTTTGTTTATTGTCCATTTATCAACATCTGTAGGTAATTTTAAAAGCAGGTGAGACCATAATAAGCATAGAGGAAAAATGTGTGTTCAGAACAGTTTATTTAACTAAATATTAAAAGACAAAATAACTCAGACTGAGCCCAGACCTCTGGCTCCCAGTAAATCACCCCCCAGCTGCCCTAAGCAGATTTGAAAAACATTTTAGAAGCAGTGAGAAGAGAAAAATCCCACAGAATAGCTAGAACCTCTCCCCTACTTTTCATCTTGGACCATTTGGAGGATTAATATCCACTGAATCCTCCAAGGCTTAGTTTTCCTTCATTATAAATAGCTCCTGTAAGGGAAGCCACGTTGGACCTTGCCTGTCCATCCTGCAAATCCAAGCGTGGAGCAAACAAAATGCAGTTGGAAACAGATTGGGTGGCATGGAAAGGGAGCAGTGTTCTCTCCTCCTGAACAGACATTGGTAATGATTTGTGACACATCTATGCAAGAAACCACTGCAAGAAACATGTAACTCCAACATCCCCCGTGTACCCAGGGAAATAAAGGTTTAAAGAACTATGGTGAAATACCTCATCCATTCATAGGAAAGCTGGAGCTGTGGGGATGGAAACCCATTCCTTTAATTTCCTGCATGGTTTTGGATTAGTCAGAAAGCCACAGTCGCTGTGGCTGTGGATTCTTGGTGTTGCAGCATAAGAATAACAACAAAGCATTACATAAGAAGGAGATGTTTACTTGTAGCAAGCCTGATTAGAGAATTAACCAGAAATCCTGATGTCAGGAATGTTGGGATAGAGCATCTGGACACCTGAAGTATGTCTGAGCTTCTCTGATTTGAACTCCCAGATTTGCAGCAGCACTTGGCTTTGGCCAGAGCTGTTCTGCAGAAAAATTCCCTCACAGTCATCTTGGGCGATTTTTGTCCAAAATTCCCAATGAGCATCCAAGTCCCAGGAAATCAGCACACATGTATTTTTTTGCGGGCTTGTCTTGTTAAATGTACTTATTATTTTACATGCATGTGGTTGCCAGTTTACCACTCAGATCCTTTATTTACTGCCTTTCTTTATCACCTCACAGGAAGCAACATCCAAATTTGCAAATCTGGACAGCAATGAGAAAGAAAATCATAAAAAGTCACAGAAGCGACTGCAACTTCAAAAAAATAAGGTGTGTTTGGGGGTTTTCCTCCCCTTTTTGAACTGGTAACATTATTAACCCTAACTGGTCCATTCTATAAGAAGCAAAATCTAGAAAGGTCTTCACCAGAGTGGGCAGGAGGGACTGATGGATATAAACATGTGGTCATCACTTCCAGCTCTCTTTTTTTGGTCCTACAAGAAAGAGTTCCATTATCTCCTCTTGTTACACTTTAGAGAGAAATGCAATTTCCATGTAGTAAAATATGTGCTCCTGTAAATACTGGAGTTCTTGTGATAAAAAAAATTAACTCTGGCAGAGCAGAAGTCTCATGTACTTTCAAACATATGATGAAGCTGATGACATACCAGCTTGAAAATTGCACAGGCTCCTACAGAGATTGCTTTGTAAAATGTGTCTGGGATCCAGTCTGCTGGTGAAAATGGTTTTTCTTTCAAAGATTCTGGCAAAGATTTAAAAGGACAGGGGGACAGTAATCTGGAATAGTGAGGCAAAAGTGCTGAACATGATTTTTGTCTGTCTAGTTCTTTGACTGGAAAAAATATAGATCCCTCTGGATGGTAGAAACAAGTGTTTCCTTCGCAAGTGTAGAGCCAGCCTGAACTCTGCAAGTGCTGGCAGTCTAGAAGTTCAAAGTGTCAATAATTAGCGTTAAAATGAGGTGGGTGGCTGGGGAAGATGGTCACTTCCTGGAGAGAAAAAAATGGTGGCTTGATTTGACTTTGCTATCACAAGGTATAATCACACATCATTAAGTAGAACCCCACAGGGATGAAGCAGAAGCTGCTCACACAGGCTGGCCAGGAGATTCCCCAGCTCCTCCTCCTGCAGCAGGTGACAGAGGGACCCTGGCCCTGGCCCTCAGTGCTTCTCCCAAAGGCAGGGTTTCCTGGGGATGCACTGTTGGGAATCAATGATGGCAATACTGTAATACAAAACCACTGGGTAATACCTGTGAGAGCATCCTGGTCTCACTGGAATTGGATTTAAATTCTAGATTATCTAATGAAAATGATGTAATGAAAGAAAACATAATTATAGGACTGATGCTTGGTTAAGCAGATTACTTTCATTTCATTTTCTTACACAGAAGTGTTCTGGAATTCTAATTATTCTCATTTTTCAGTCAATTAATCCAGCACTGCTCTGCTCACTTGCAGGGGGTGATGCAAGGCACAGTCCCTTACCTTGGCACCTTCTTGACTGATCTCATCATGCTTGACACAGCCCTTCAGGACTATGTCGAGGTAACTTGAGGCAATTTTTTGGAACCTTAAGTATCCTCCCTGACTTCCTAACTGAGTTTACTTGTTTCTGCATCCTCTCCTTCTGCAGCTCTTAAAAGGGAAAAAAGAAAAGGGAAGCAATATGCAGTGTTGTTAACTAGAACTTGTGTGAAGTTTTGTGCATTTATCTCAAGGTACAAGTCTGGCTTTTCTCTGATCCCTTCTCTTTCCTTCCAACAGGGTGGTCTGATCAATTTTGAGAAGAGACGAAGGGTAAGTTGAATGTTCTGTGATTTTTGGTTTATTGATACTCTCTGGGCAAGGGCCTCTGTCTTTAGCAGCTGAACCAGACCTGGAGGCAGGAGACCTTTGCTTTCCAGAACACACAGAGTAGTAAATATCTTCCTTCTCCTGCAGGAAATCCTTTGTAGGTGAAAGTCAGCAGAGGGCAAACCAGGTGGAGAGGACTGAGAAATAAATGCTGTCAGTCTCTCCTTTCAGCCTGATCCTTGTTGGTCAGAGATAAGTAATGTCCTGTAGGAGCAAAGGTGCTGGGGTTACTGTGGGCTGAATGAAGTCAGGCCAAATCTCCATCCTGGGGCTTGAAAGCAGACCTGGACTTGGCTGAGATGGAGCCATTTCCTCCCCTTAAGTGCTCAATAATCTGCCCTAAACAATCCAGGGTTATTCTGGCAAAGTGTGTGTACAAGTGCAGTTACAGAAGAGTAGCACACTCTGGTCACATTCCTTAAGGGTAGCATTTTACATTCCTCTGGAGCAAGTGTGAGTGCACATTATGGATCCTAGGAAATAAAGCCCACCTTTATTGTTAGAAACTGGTTCTTGAAATAGTTACTTGACTGAAACTGAACTTCACATCAAGCTAAGTTTGTCCTGGATCCCTCACTGTATGAATAAATTTAATCTTGTTTTCTAATTAGACTTTCTATGTGATTATTTATTTTCTTAGGAATTTGAAGTCATTGCCCAAATCAAGCTCCTGCAATCTTCATGCAACAGCTATTGCCTGATACCAGACCAAAAATTCATCCAGTGGTTCAGGAGGCAGCGACACTTAACAGAGGAGGAGAGGTAGGTCCTCAGTGCAGCTAGCAAACCTCTGTTCTCACCCCCCACACACCTGGGCAGGTCAGGGCAGGGACATCAAAACACTGGAGAGCACTAGTTTTAAAACCTATTATAAGGAGGTGAAATATGCCCTTGGCCCTGGTAAAATGCAAGCAGAGCAGTGCTCCTCTTTGTGGTGCTGCAACCTTCTCTGAGGTGAAAACAACTGAAGGACTCTGGGATTTCTTGAATGTTGCTGCTGTGAGATGTACAACTAAATGACAAACACTGTACAACTAAATAAACTGTCCAACTAAGTGACATTGACATTGTATTACTAAATAACATTGTTTGCAAATATTCACCTGCTGGCCTCTGCCCTGCAGTTACAAACTCTCACGTGAGGCTGAAGCAGCTGCTGATACCAACATCCTGTCTCCAAAATCCCAGAAAAGCATGGTGAAGAGGATCAGCACGTGAGTTATGATGGGGCAGAGGGGTTTTGGGGTGGGAATATGGATCTGATAACTCAAACAAGCAGTGCTCATTTAATCAGCTGCAGAACCTGGCTGGGGATCCACAACCCTGCATTGCTTTAAGGAGAAATGCAGCCTTGTGGCTGAAGCTGTCCCTTTGTGTTGCTAGCAGCAGTCATGAGGATTATTAAGGATAGAAGAGACTAGAATAAAAATCCTTCCTGTGGTGTCAAAAAAAGGAACCATTTTAGTGCTGGATTATAATGCAGTACCTGTTGTGTAATAACTTCACTGAATGCAGCAGGAAAACACAGTAAAGGAGGATAAAGTCTGGTCTATTATTAGTATAAATTGCTATAGACATGCAAAAATTCCTTGCAGGATTTTAATATGAAAGTAAAGGTTAGGAAAAAAGGCATTTGTTAGTGGAAACAACTAGGTGGAGAAGGAAAAAAACATCATGGGGACATGGTCCAATTTGGTGTAATAGCACAAAGATTCAAACAGGAGGTGGGTAAAGGACAGGGCCATGCAGCTGGACATGGGAAACAAGAGGAATGCAGGAAAAGCTGCGTGTAATAAAGCAGAGCTCAAAGATTGAAGTAAAAATATCTGCACTCTGAATGTGTTTTGCAGATGAATACTGTAGAAAGGCAGTCAGTGACACCCCTCCAAGCTGTGTTAAATCAGTAACTGCATGCTCATGCTCCCTGCTCTTCCTCTTGGTGGGTCAGACCAGCTTGTTTTGTTTCCTTTGACACTCCTTTCAAGGCACTTGACCTGCATTTAGAAATGAGCTTGGAGAGGGAGCACCTTTAATTTACACTTTATGATCTCCTTATTGTGTGTATCTCCAGCCTTCTAGAGAGAACCTGGTACCTGTGGCACCCTAATAGAGGGCAGGGATTGGCAGCGGGGTGAATTTGCTCTTTGAAGCCCTTTTTTTCTTTAAAATGAGCCTGTAATTGTGAAGAGATGGAAGGGGGAGTGTTCTAGTGGGGCATGAGCTGGTTGTGGCCTTACAGCTGTGGGCACTCTGCGTCAGGAAGGTGTTGTGTTAGCCTGTAACAAAGCCTCTGGACAAACTCTATAAACACCACAAAGGAAATGACAACAAAGGCCATTCCAGAGAGGAAAAAACTACAGAATGAAAGACTTCTGAACCAAAGGACAGCTTTGGTCAGCCCAGCTCTCGCTTACTGGCTTTTATGCTTTCTTTCTTTCTATACTAGACTTTTTCTGGGCACTGATGTGTTCACCCCACCCAAAGAACCACCCCTGAAGAGCTCTCCTGTAGGAGGGAGCTCCGGGGAAAGCACGGATTCAGCCAGTGTTTCATCGTGTGAGTTTAATCACTCTGAAACTGAGGATGTGTGTGTGACTCCCGTCTCTAGTCCTGAGGACCCTCTGAAAAAGGTACAGCTGAGGCCTCTGCATGCTGCAGGCAGGCTCAAGATACTTGCCAAGGCTCTTGGTCTTGACTAAAGCATTGCTTTTAGTGAAATGGGGAGAGAAATGTGTAAAAATGGAAGTAATCCAGTCGGGGTTCTTGCACAATGTTCTGTGGTGTCCCTTACAGTGGGTTTGTTCCTGTCAGGAAGCTTTGGAGCAATGCAGAGGGAGAGAAAGGCAAACGCTGAGCAGGGGAAGGAAGGGGGCAGTTTCAAGGGGAACGGCAGAGAGGAGGGCTGTGTGTATTTCCACTTGTGTAAAGGCTCTCACCTGGAGCAGGAGTGCCTGTGACACCCTGTGCTCCTTCCCAGCCGGTCCCAGTTCCTGGCTGGCTGCCTGCAGCCTCATGCTGTTCCTTGGATCTGCTGCCACCTCCTGGGCTGCTCTCACTGCGAGCCCAGAGCATCCCCAGCAGGACAGAAATTGTCACTGAAATGCTGTAATCAATCAAGCGAAGTTCAGCGTTCAGTTCAGGCTGGGATCCCTGCCAGCAGGCTGGGCAGAGTGTGGCTGACTGAGGTTTTGTCTGTGCCTTCTGCTTTCTCCCGTTCCTCTGGCACAATGACACAGCCAGGCACACCAAAGGTCCCCTTTGTGACAGCACTTTCCTTTCTGTTGTGCAGATCTCTGGCTACTCCTGTTCTCCTGACTCTTCCATGAGCACGCCTTCCTCAGGGGTGTCATCTTCTCCCTCATTCCTGCTGGCCTCCAACGACGACAAGAGCTCCGTGGGCTCCGACAAGGGCTACGACTCCGACAAGGGCTCCATCAGCTCCGACAAGGGCTCTGGCTCCAGCAAGGGCTCTGTCTTTGATGCTGGCTCAGGCTTGGACAGTGGCTCCATCCCCTCCAGGGACTCGGTGCCGAGCTGTGCCCCCCGAGTGCTGCCCGTGTACAACCGGCAGAGCGAGGGCTCCTGCATCATCCGTGTCAGCATGGACGGGCTCCACGCCAGCGTCTACAAGAGCATCCTGGTGAGTGCCACGGCTCTGGGCTCAAAAGGTGTGTCCTTGGGGGGCTGACAGAACCCATCACTGCATTCTGAGAGCACCCCTTCACTAAGCTGGCTCATCAAACCTGGCTGGAACGGGGAAATGGCACATGGTGCTATGCGGAATGGAGCCTGGTAGGAATGAGATGTTTTAAAATGGCTTTAGGGAAGTTTCTGGTCTGGAAATTGTTCTATGAAAAAGCTCCAGGCAAAGCTCTGTGAGCACACTGAGGTGTTGACATAAGATGGTACATTTTCCTTGGAGCAGCCTTCCCCAGGAGCTGTTTCTGGAAACAGGGAGCTGCAGGGGAGGGAGCTAACATGACCTTTAATCCCACAGCTTCCCCAGTGAAGAAGGGAGAATCTCCCTCCTCTTGCCAGACCAGCAGCCATAGAATTCAGGCATTTCCCTCTCTGCTTATTCCACAGACACATCCAGTAATGCCACTGGTGCTGCACCATGGGTGATGTGGCTTAGCTCAGCTGGGGGGACACAAATGTGGGATAGTTCTCAGCCTCTTTAGTTCCTGATTTTAATGGTCTCACTTTCCCAAATCCAGCAAGTTGTTCCTTGAGGGCCTGATGGATTTGGCTGCTGGGAGACTGCAGGAGCCTCTGGAGGAGCTGTGTGTCTGCTCCAGATGCATTTCCACAGCATACAGCAAACCCAGCTACAATGCCAGAAAGCTTTGCAGGATGTCCAAAGAAGTGCTTAGCACAGGAGCCTGCACAGCACTGGGGCAGCTTTTCACAGGGGCTTTGTGGCTGGTGAGAGTGAGCTCTCTCAGAGGGAGCAGACACTGGGATCTACTGCTGTCTCTACTAGTACTGTATCTGTGTCAGCTTGAACTAAAAAGCCACCCCCTCCAAATGTCAAAAATGCTAAGTTTAGTATCTGTCAGCACCTGCCCCTTTGCTGCTGACCTGTTCTTTCAGTTCTCTGACATCTCTTCCAAGAACAAGCAGTCAGGTTTTCACTGACTACTAAATAATGAGAGTAAATAAGGATCTGTCATTGCACATTATCTTTCCAGATAACCAACCAAGACAGAATCCCTGATGTCACCCAGCGAGCCTTGCTGAAGCACAACCTCGAGCCTGATGCAGTTGAAGATTATGAGCTTGTGCAGGTCATCTCTGAGGACAAAGGTAGGGAAGCAGAGCTCTGCTGCTGCCTGGAAGGTTCTGTTGGATTTCAAAGGGAAGAGTAAAACGGGAAGCATTAGAAATGCTGCTGACAGGTCACAGCTGCCATTGAGAACTCCCTGGCTGCTCAGGGGTGGTTTCTGTCAGCACTGCCAGCTCCTGGGCTGCAAGGCTGTGTGCCTTGCAGCCATAGAGTGATCACAGGATTTTGGGTGGGGGTGATGTTCTGCCTCCCTGGGACCAGGCCCTCAGATCCCACCCATCATCAGCCTTCTCTGAGAGTCTGGCAGGGCCTCTGCCAGGCTGAGCATTCCTGGCCTGGCCTCCCCTCCTGCCCCGCTCCCTTTCCTGCAGGAAGCTGCTCCCGATGCTGCTGTGGCAGAACAGGGAGATGGCCCTGCCTGCATCATCCTGCTCCCTCTCAGCTCTCCTGCTGCTGTGCCCCCCTCCCCACTAATGCTGCTCTGGCCCTGTTCTGCAGAGCTGGTGTTCCCCCGCGATGCCAACGTCTTCTATGGCATGAACAGCCACGTGAACTTCGACTTCATCCTGCGGAAGAAGGCAGAGCTGCTGGGCTGAGGCTGCACCTGCGCTGCCCTCCCGGCTTTGGGGAATCTGTCGCAATTCCCTGTTGAAAATGTGCAATTGGAGCAATGGGCAGCCCTGGTGCAAAGGCTCCAGGCTGCTACATTGGTCTTGAGGACACCCCATGAGCCACCTCTGTGAGAAAAGGGTCTCCTTCATGCCAGTATTATACAGAAGATCATCTGAACTTATTTTTATGGAACTGAAGCAAATTCTGTGTATGTCTGCCTGAAGCAGCTGAGATTTTTTTGCACTTGTTCTACACCAGAGAATGACCCATTTTTGGATCTTGTTTCCAAAGAACTTCAAAATGGATGAACTGCACTTGCCTTTGCATGAACATCATGAATGGGACAAACAGACACTACTTTGTGTTGGATGGAGGTCTTAATGTCACGACAGGGTGATTTCCCTTGGACTTGGTTAAGCCATGGACCAGAACTTGATGCCTTTTGTGTGCACTTCCATGTGATGGATGGACATCCTCCCAATGTGCAATTCCTCTGCCAGAACTGAAATGTGAACCTCTTTAAAAGCCATAAAAAAGACGCTGGATTGTAAGCAGCCCTGATTTGAGACTCATGAAATACACACAGTATTTCTGGTTCTGCTGGTAGCACTGTGCATGCCTGCACAGATCTAGCAGTTATTATCCAAACAGATAGCTTAGGATTCTTAAGGATCATCAGCTAAAATAGAGTTTTATCCATGCCTGGGCCTTTTACCCCCAGTTTTGTGGCACTAATTTGCAACCCAGGGCTCAGGTAAGTTTTACACTACATTTTGACTATCACTTCTGTTTACAGGTAGGTAAAACAGACCGACTGTGCATCTCCTGTACATCCAAGAGTCCTATGGCAGGTCCCACAAGCCTGGTGTAGGTCATAGCCTGAACAATTTACGAATTCCAGTTGTTTGTTTAGAGGGTGACAGAGTGGGGGGGTTGTTACTGAGCCTTAACCTTTGCCCGGAGTTAGGGCAAAACTATAAGTTCAGTTTTCTCTGCTTTTGGTGTCTGTACAGTGCAGTTCCTTGTGTACATAGCATAGCTCCTAATGTATATAGTACTGCTCACTCAGAGGGTGTATGGCAGTGTTAAGCTGAAACGTAAATGTTCTGGATTTTAAAATTACACTTTGCAAATGTTTATATATGTTATGTTTTTAACTGCTTATCTGTAATCTTTATATGATAAGTATATAAATTGTTTTTCATTAATATTTGCCTGGAATCAGTCAATTTCCTTTTATTAGTGCACGTCAGATGTGTAAAAACACCTCATACCACTTCCTTTGCTGTCACTTTCTTCAGCCTCTCCACGTTTAGTGTTTTAACTTCTCAGCAGCAAAGCCAAAGCTCTCCAATGCATCAGCCACGCACACAGCCTCTGAGAGATAGGGATGTTTTGTGCTATTTCTTGAGGTTTCAGCTTAAAAAGTGCTGTAACTGGGTAATTAAGATTGTACACCAATTTTACATCTTCTGCATGAAATTATTCTCTTTTGAGTCACTGAATGACTTCTGAGGCCAGATAGTATGAAAGAAGTGCTTTGATGTATCCATTTCTCCCCATTGTCTCAATCATGGTGTTTTTCCTCCAACTCAAATACCTTGTATGTTTTTAAATCCATGCTCTGTTTGCTGGTGAGGAGCACCCCGTGATGATGCAGGGAAATCCGTGTCAGCCAACAGGGAAACCCCACAGCAAGGGGGAAGGAAGGAGAGGCTCTCATAGGCACTGAGGTGGGTCTGCCATGAACAAAAAACAGGAGGGTGGAAGAGATGTGGCTCTCATATCCACAGTGACACTTGACAGTGCTGGATAGTCACCTGGTCACAGAGCCCTGCTCCTGCAGAAACTTCTCACCAACCTCTGGGACTTCCAGTGTCCTTCACACAGGCCATGTGGGCTCATAAAGCAAGAGACCTGCGGAGAAAGCAAGAGGGATTGTGAGGAAGGAATGACCCAGGCTGTGTGTGGGCCTATGGTGCAACCTCCATACTCACCAGGTCGTGTGGGCATCTGCTCCCACATGGACACCAGCAGGAACTTGGCTTCCAGGTGGGAACTGCAGCATGGGCCCCTTTATACAGCCAGTGACTCCATGGGAGAGGGACACAGCCAAGAATCCCTTGAGCTGGACTTCATTAACCTCCAGTTAACATTCAGGGTCAGGCTGGAGGGGGCTTGGAGCAACCTGGTCTAGTGAAAGGTGTCCATGCCCATGGCAGGGGGTTGGACTGGGTGACCTTTAGAGGTGCCTTCCACAACCCAAACCATTCCAGCACTCTCCTCCCACACAATGAAGAACACACAGAGCTGCTCATCTTGCACCAGGTTCTATGTATTATCAGACCGGCTGACAGGTAATAACATGTCTTCTGCAGCAGAAAGCACAACATTGATCAGTAATTATTCAAAACAAACAAAAATTAAAACCAAAACCCCAGCCACACACACTCAAAGCACAGATCTGCCAGCAGGTGAGCCCCTAGATGGCAATTCCAGGAGGGAATCCTCCCACTGCCCAGAAGCTCCAGGTCTGTGCCAGTATAGTCCGTGATCACCTGGCCTCTGAGAAAGGTTTTTTTAAAAAAAATAAACACCATATCTTGCTGGCATGTGAGCCAACAGCATAAACATCAGAACTCATCCAAGACACATAAAAGTTCGCTCCTCACATGAAAAAATATCCAGGCAAGTCGCCTTTCCGTCCTGTAACACACAATTCTATCGGGCTGTTGAGAGTTCCATTGCTGTAGGCTCTTTTGGTTTTAGAAGGAGAGTTTGTAACCTAACCTCTTACATTTTAAGTTCCCAAAACTCCTACACTTGCTTTTATGGCCTGAATAAACAGGCCTGCCGACAGGTTGTGGGGTTTTGTTTTCCTGAAGGGCTAAGTT